GGGTGTTTGTTTGAGTAGATTTTTAAATTTGTGACTCACAGAACTCCTCTCCGCTCCTATTATCAAATGGAATGCATGTAAATGAGTTATCGAGGAGAAATGTACCCGGAATAACCGTGGGGTCTGCAATAGCCTCCTCTTGGCCCATTGCGAATACTCGGCCTCCTCCACCAGCATTCCTGTTGTTTGCCTTCGGGCAGTCCCTTCGAAAGTGCCCCGTTGCTCCGCACCCATAACAAGTACGGTCTACTCCCACATTTGCGGCTGGAGCGGATGGTTGGGTTGGTTCCCTGCAGCAGCGGACGGTGTGTCCCTTACTATTGCACCTAATGCAATGCATTTCACGGCAGGGTCCGTGATGATGAAAGTTGCATCGGTTGCACTTAGGCTGGTTGCCGTTGTACGGCCGTGTGGGTGTGGGGGTGGTAGGGACAGTAACAACGTGAGTTGTCACTAACTGTTGCCTCTTGGGGTTCTCTTGCGTGGTTTCAGCTTTTCTCTTATCCTAGGGTTTCCTTCGGTCCTCTATATCCTTCGGTGGCTCCGAAACAACGGTAATAGTACCCTGTTTAACACCGTGATCAATCAATCGTTGAGCCAAGCGCTTCGCGCTGTCAAATGTGACTGGGTTAGAGGCCAAGACATGCCCCTGGATCTGGGGTGATAATCCCCAAATGTACCTCTCCACCTTCTTCGATTCTGGGTTTACCATACCTGGGCACAAGGCTGACAAATCACTGAACCTGGCCGTGTAAGCGACTAGGTCCGATCCGGTCATCCTTAGGTTCCATAGCTCATGCTCTAACTTTTGGATTTCGCCTCTCGGGCTGTATTCTTCCAGCATCAAGATTTTGAGATCTTCCCAACTCATGGCATTAGCAATTGGGAGAGATAGGGCTTTCAGATGGCCCTTCCACCAGGTGAGGGCTCGATCAGAGAAAGTGCAAGCGGAGAACTTGACTTTGCTGGTCTCCGGGCATGCACAGATCTCGAAGACCGTTTCGGTCTTCTCGAACCATTGCATAAGTGCAATGACTCCTCCTACCCCGTTGAAAGTCTTTGGCTTCGTATTCGAAAATTCCTTGTATGTGCATTCCCTGATATGACCATGGCCAGTGCCATGATTCAAGTGGTTGGTACTGCTTCCAGTTCCACCAGCTCCGTTAGTGTTTATTTGCGTAAGAGCAGCTGCTACTGCCGCAGTGATAGCAGCCTGTACCATGACGGGATCATATTGTGGAGGTGGTGGCGGTGGCGTAGGTTTTGCGTTGTTGACGTGATGTGCAGATCTAAGAGGCGGCATCGTGCTGACCAGGAAATAACAGTGAAGACAATAAGTCCTTAATGATTGAATGGTTCGGGTAGTAGGGATCCCCTGGTAGATGGAATCCGGCCATTGCGTCTGTACGAGAATAGGGAGATAAGGATTGTCTAGAACTAAGGCACATAAAGTTGAACATCAAAGTTAAACTATCGTATGTATAAAATACTCCTATAGTATTCTAAATGTTATGTTTGATTCTAAAGTTTATAAGTTTGGTAAGTTTTAGACTTGTTGTCCAGTGTAGCTATCCCCCGACATACCCAGTTCGGCTCTCGGAAAAATATAGTTGATCAGGTTATATTCATCCCAGTCCCGATTACATATCCCAAGGCATACCTGTATTGTACAACTCATCTACAATACTTCTATATTGTTTTCATTATGATACTGACCCTGTTATATAATGTATGCATGTATACTTTATAAAAACTTCATTTTAAAAGTATAACTCTCACTCAGAGTGTTTTTGCCCAGTTGTGTTTATAGTTTGTATATCAAAAATATGGTTTTGATATACTTAGTTCACTATAAACAATGCTCTGATACCAATCTGTCACACCCCCAAACCTGAACGGCAGAAACATTCGGGGGCGGAGGACGTCATGTATAGTATCATAACAAATGAATAGTAAAGAAAGTACACACAACCATCATATACATACTTGAAAAGTTTACATGATTGTAGTATTACATGTTTGCAAAAGTCAATTACAATATGATGTCCAAAAGATTAAACTAACGCCTGAGCGTGAGTCTTCAAAAGCAGTTGCTAACCTGATTTAGCGATTTCCTGAGAATACAAGTTATTTCAAAGAAAAAGTGTCAACATTTAAGTTGGTGAGTTCATAAGTAGTGTTTTGATAAAGTGTATGCTATTCGAAAGTTCGTGTATGTTTTCCAGAAAATCCGATATTTTCTTAATAAAGTGGGTTGTGAATCATTGTTGTATAAAGTGAATGTTTGAACCAGGAAAATCCTATATTTTCCTAAATGAGATGCAGTCTTAAATGACCAAGACTGTAACCTGTAAGCAAATATGCCATGCTTAGAAATGAAGATGTATAGTTTTATTATTAAGTAAAACTAGTTGTGGAAGTGTTTATCCTGAATTCTGAACATGCTGATAATACCCTATAATATAGTTATTACCCCCCGAGCATGATTGAGTTATGTATTACTACATGCATGAGTCATTGTTTCCGCGTGTTGTGAGTTCCTCATAACCATACTAGACGCAGTACCTAATGTTGACATTTGTCACCCCGGGGACTGTAGCTAACAGTCAGGGTGCGGAGTCGTCAGCCCCGTATAGATCTATACACACTTGTCACGCTCTCCCTCCAAGAGACTCTGGTTATAGGTGGGGACTTTCGTTTGGTATAAACAAAGCCATATGACATCACATGATTGCTAACAACAAGTTCACGAGTAATATGATGAAAAATCATTTGTATGAAATGATTTCCTTTTCTACCGTGTTACAAAGGCGTAATGATGAGTTGAGTTTTCTTGTAAAAGCATCATGTTATAGTAGAAATAGTTACCCTTGATATGATGTAGTATGAAAACGTATAAATAAAACATATTTCTATTTATAAAACATATTGTATCCCAAGAGGGTAAAGTTGTGTTGTGAGGTGTTTTGCATGATAACAACTTCATATGATAGTTAAAATAACAGTACGAAAAGTATAGCAAAAGATTGGTGTTTCAAACGATTTTAACCGTGTGTTTACTTGTATTCCCCCCCTTAAAAGTGTTTCAAAAGCATTTAAAAAGCATTTAAAGTGTGGTTGTAGGGGTATGAACTCACTTGATAGGAGTGACGATTTGATGAAAATGAGGCTTTGCTCGGGCAGCACTTCGACTGGAAAGAAGTCGATTTCTCGGAAATCTCGGGACTTCAGGACTTGCGTCGTGTGTTGGGGGTGTTACCGGGGCTTCGGGGTAGTCTCGGGATGCTAAAAGCAGAGTAAAATTGGCCAGAAGAAGAGAAATGAGCAGCCTAAACCCGAGACCTTCGATTTCTATTTATAGGGCAAATTTCTCATTTTCCACGTCGTGAACAGTACTTTCACGTCGTGGGCTTGATCGTCACTGCATGCGTCATCGCAAGTTGGGTCTGGCAGGCTCCAGGAGGCGTCAGAAGACATGCCACGTCGTGACCACTGATTTCACGTCGTGGTATCTGACAGTCTTGGGGTTTCGCGCCCCGAACTTCAGAAATTCTTAACTTTCGCATACGAACTCCGTTTTCGACGTTCTTTATATCGACGCGAAGCTGAGATTATGATCTATAACTCTCGTTTAGACTTTGTTGGCTAATTTTGACTTTAAATTTTGTTATATTTATTTTTAGTAGTTCGGGACAGGAAAACTCCGTCAAAAATCCATAAATTCTTCTTCCAATGTCCGTTTTCGCCTGTCTTTTTTACCTATGTACTACTATTGTCGAGATCTTCGATTCTCGTTTAGATTGCGTTGGCTGAAAGTCGCTCGATCTCTATTTCGAGTTTTTAGCTGTCTACTACTATGTCTGAAACTTCGAAAAATAATAACTTCCTCATACGAAGTCAGATTTGGGCGTTACTTTTGTGTACGTTTACGGTTTAATGATATCTACAACTTTCATTTAGATACCTAAGGTTGAAAAATATTTTATTGAAAATTTGTATTTTATGCTTAAGAATATTTTACCAGTTTTGTTGCGGATCTTCGATTGGTCATAACTTCTTCGTTATAACTCGAATTTCAGTGTTCTTTATATTTTTGGAAACCTCGTTACGATATCTACCTCTTGGTTCATCCCAATTATGGTTACTAAACAAATTTATTTTTGACCTAATTTTTGCTGGTGTTACAAACATTTTGTAATGTCATTGGCTAAGTCTCTGTGATTTTGAAGCTTTGACATCATAGAAGGACAATTCATGTAAGGTTGGAATTTTAACACATTCTAAGTAGTGACAAGAATTTGGAATTGTGAAATGAGCATCATTGGAATAGCGTCTAGTTGATCTGTTCACAAAGGAAGAACCATAGAGAAACATAGTATGCATGTTCATAACATGGCATGACTGATGTTTAATTCAAGTGTTTAGTTGATTACTCGAAACATTATACAATGAAAAAAGTGTTAATTATTATGGTGATTAAATAATAAGAGTTTTATTTATATTCAATAGTTTTGAGAGCATAGTTAATTAGGTTATTATTGTGTTTCACTTTGCATGTTTTACTTCCAGCATAATTTGATTATTCAAAATTCCATAGTCGCTCATACTTTTGGAAGTAAGTAGTGTAATAAGACTGTCATGAATTGAATTATAGATTGTATATGGAGATTAGACATAGCAATAGTTTTGCTGCAATGTTCATGAGTAATTAGCAAGGTTGCAGAAATCGTTCGACGGTAGCTTAGCGGTCGACTGGGGTTAAGGGATTAATCGGTCTCGATGGGGATTAATCGGGGACCATTAACTATTAATAAAAAATTAATATAAAATAAGCAAATAACCATACAAAAAGTCATAAAATAAGCAAATAACCATACAAAAAGTCATAACTAGTATTTAAACATTTAAGTCATAATCCATCATATTACAAGTCCAAAATAAGTTTAATAATAAGAAGAACACACATTTTCATACATTTAAATGTCCATATTCTTATAATCTTAAAGCTCTTCCACTATTTTAACTCCATCCGACTCATATTCATCTTCTTCAAACACTTGCTCCTCATTCTCAGATTCGAAATCTTCATCATAAAGTTCTCTCGTTGTTGAACTTTTACGGGGTACTTGATTATCATTAGTCTTGAGAGCTTCATCAATCGCTTCCATAACTGATTCGGGGTCAACTTCATCCCCATCACCGTCATCTCCATCTATAATCCATTCTTGAGCCGAGTGAGAATCATTTGCTAAAAGCACTTCCAAAGTCCTATCTTTTCTCTTTTTGTTTTTTCCATTAGATTAGCATTGAATTGAACATAAACAAGATTGTTCAATATTTTGTCTCCAATCTATTTCGTTTCTTCGTATGTACCTATAAAAGTACGCATAAATAAAGGTTAAAAACATTCTTGATATTTAAAGATTACAACTTTATAACTAACCGCTTCAAACGTGCTCCAATTTCTTTCACAACCCAATGAGCTACTAGTTAAAGAAAGAATCCTCATTGCAATCTTTTTCAAATGAGGAGTTGAGCCGCCAAAAAGTTCCCACCATCTTGCTATAATATTAAAGAAAAAAACATTATTAAATTGATAGATATAAAATTCTATTATTATATAAATTACTAAAATAAGCATAAAGCATATTATCCCGATCAAAGTCGGCATTGTTCACCATACAACCTTTAATTGCAAGATCCGCTCCAAATCTATCAACTTTTTCCTTGTATTTTGGCAAATCAATCATCACGACTTGTCTTTGCATCTCAAAATCTCCAAAAAGTAATGTATCAAAAAAATTCAAGAACCGCATCCATTACGTCGGGATCATGTTGGAGTTGGGAATCATTATAATGGTAATAAAGATACAAAAGACAAGCCGTCAAATGTAATTTTGAATCTATCCTACCTTCATAATTTTGGGGTTTATTTTGTTTGCATAGCCATCCATGGGTCCTATAATATTTGGTGCTTTCAACCCCAAAGAATCTTCTACTTCATCCATTTCAACACTATCATTTAACACTTGTGCTGCCTCTGCTCTTAAGGCCTCGTAATATGCATGTTTAGTGTGACAAACTGAAATTTCTACCTTGTAAAGTCAATCAATTCAATCAAAGTCAGACTTGTATCTGCTAACTTTTAGCACTGTTTAGAATCTATTTGAGTGTTCTAAGCATAGTACATTCAAGAACCAAGTATTAGGAAGTATCTTCTAGGGTTCAATGTGCAACAAACAAAACCCTAAACCTAAATATGGTGTTTACGGCCAAACTTCATGAGTTTGGGCCGTAAACTCCTTCTTGGCCGTGAACTCATGCATAAAGCATGAGTTTACCCCATTTTCTTCATTTCTTCCATTTTCAAGCCAAAGAACTTCCATTCTCTCTCAAGTATCATCAAGTTCTTCATCTTGATCTTCCAAAAATGTAAGATTTCCTTCCTTTGATTTGTTGTTATATCACCTTATCTAGTAAGGATCATTGATTTCATCCATGAAATCATTCCATTTTGATAGATCTTCAAGTATTCTTCATTACACCAAGAACACACACTAGTGTTCTTGAGCCTTAAACACCCAAACAAGCTTCTATATTGTAAGTACTCTTACCTTAGCTTGTTTCATGCTTGAATCACTTAGTTTACACCTTGAAAACATCAAGAACACAAGATCAAAAGGGTGTTTACGGCCAAGGCAATCTCCTTTGGCCGTAAACCATAATGTTGGGTGCAAAGTTGCCACAACACCTTCCTAAGCCTTGAAAATAGGTCTAGAACACTTCCAACTTGAGTATAGGACCTTAAACATCAAAATGGTACCAATTACCATGAGTTTACGGCCGTAAACTCATTGGGCCATAAGCTCATGGCCGTAAACTCATGAGTTAAGGTCATCTTGGCCGTAAACTCTAAGGAGTGGCCATACATCCCTTTCATGCAACCCTATGTGGTTTAACACTTCATTACAAGTGTTTACTAGTCCCTAAGATTGTTCCAATCAATGATTAGTAGTTGTAAACACTAATTAGATACATATATGTGTCATTATATGCTAAATAGGATCCGTGTGTGCTCAAGTCTTCATTTGACTCCTAGCATCCTACCCCGATCTTACATTCGCATCACTCACTTCAGGTGAGTTCATACCCCCTTAATCTATCTTTTAAATGCTTTTATGGGGGGGGGGGGAGGAATACAAGTAGAAAACATGTAAGTTATATAATCAATCACATGTGATTAATAACTGTGTTTCAAACAAAGGATTTCATATACTTCAAACTGTGTTTCAAACAAAGGATTTCTTATACTTTCAAACTGTATTATCAATCAAATTGCTTTTAAATCGTTTTATAAACTGACATCAAGTCGTTAATATTTATTGTTAAACTCTTTAAAATGTATTACAAAACCTCTTTTAAACTTATATATATTGTCAAAAGCATGTCTATATATGTATAGTTATACATATAGTGTTTAAAGGACTTAGGACTGCTAACTCACTTTATTTCCTTTTCCTTGTTTGGATGTGGACTTTGGGTATCGGTTATTTGTCCGAAGGTCGTCTAAATATTAGATATATATATCATGTATACATATGTAGATATAAAAGTACTATCAATCAGTTCAATACCTTTGGGTAGCAAAGGTATACTTTCATTCATTCAAACTACGGAAATTACTAGTAAACTATAATAGGTATAGTTTAGGAGAATACTATCATATACAAATACTATAACAGTGAATACTAGACAGAGAATACTATAACAGAGAATACTATACAAAGGATACTATACAGAGAATACTATACATAGAATACTATTACTATAACAAGTATACTATAACAAGATTCAGAGATAACATAATGTGAGATACTACTTCATGACACATCGACCATTTCGTTATGTCACGTTTTGTAACCAGAATCTCCTGGAGGGAGAGCGTGAGTTTGCGTATATATCTATACTGGATTGACTATCCTACACCTTTGCTGTTCGCTACAGTGGGATTTGCAAGTCTACGTGTGCCAAATGTCATTTCTTCCGACGTCTTTCATCGTCGTGTTATAGTCAGTTTAGTATGGTAGCAATCATATCACATTTTGCCTTAACTAAACCATTGGTTTTAAGGTAGTTATTACTTCAGTAGTTAATACACATAATACTGCAGTACACATACACATTTTCCCACTATATTCAAATTGTGATCTTCTCACATAAAGGGTAATATAAAACTATATTTTGGTAATGATAATCATACTTGGGAAAAGCATTCACTTTTACAAAGGAACAAACATACAAAATAGTCGGGTCTTGGTAGAAGACTACATTTTATACTAGTAGAAAATATAGGATTTCTAGGAGTTTTCAAACATATACAAACATTTACATTGATCAATTACAAACATTTTCATCAAACTTATACAAACATTGACACTAAATACTTATGAACTCACCAGCTTAAATGCTGATCTACTCTTTCAAAATAACTTGTATTCTCAGGTCACCAGTAGACAGGTACCGATGACCAGGTTTTGAGAAGACGGAGCATCTTCAAGACTCGTCTTTTATTTTGATTATTCATTTTTGGTGTCTTATTACTATTAAAGAACACACTTGTATGAAATTATACTATTAATGCAATGGATGATGTTGTTGCTTATTTACTACTTTGCATTGTCATGATACTGTACATGACGTCCTCCACCCCAGAACGTTTCCGCCGTTCTTGGTTTTGGGGTGTGACATTTAGCTTTCTTTTTTATTTTCCCTTCGTTGATAAAATTTCGCATTTTCAATTGATCATCTTTTGTAGAGTTTGGACATCGACTTACATTTCCCATCACATGACCAATATGTTGTTTCAATCTAGTAACCCCCCGGTAAACACTTTTCCACACAAGTTACATCTCACTGTATCCATCTTGTTTTTATCCGGGCAAAAACCATATTCCCAACCAATATCATATGTGTTCCGTTTATGAGCACCGGTGGCGGTTAATCCCACCAATGGCGAAGTCAAATTTTTAGATGTCATGATTGAACACTGTTATACATACTAGAAAAATACATCAGAAATATACAACATAAATCATAAACTTTCAGCAGACATCAAAATATCACAAAAAAATGTTAAGCTAATGTTTAGCTGTAATCTTGAAGAAGCAGGTAGGCATCTTTGAGAATATATTTTCTATCTTTGTAAGTTAATGGAAACAGTATTCAACATATCAACAGTTAACATATTACTCCTTTGTTATCTGTCCAAATGACAGATTGTGATTATATTCCAACACAACACAAACCTTGTTTCTAATATATTTATAATAAATTACTAAGAAAATAATAAAAAAAGGAAATTTATGGTATACACTTGTGTCTCGTGTTTAACAGCAAAAAGGAAGCCATGAATATTGGCTTTTACATGTGCTACATAAACCCACATGGGCGGCGACTATTTACGAATATTAGTTTCAAGAATTAACAAATGTAATCAATTCTATACAAGATTCTAAAACGAAAGAACAAATCAATTGTATAACACTATCAGAAGTGGTCTTTCAATGAACAAACAAGAACTCAACTTTTTTTTTTTGGGAGAAAAACGAACTTTGATTAAGAGAAATCATTAACCTGAAATACGAACGCCGCTGTCCCTGTAGGTTCACCGGTGGCCGCTGGAGGTTCATCGGAGTATGGTGGGCGTCAGCATCGACTATATCGTCGGGGTAGGCTTAGGTCGCTTCAATTTTTGAGAGAGAGCACAAAAATGGCAAATGAATATGACGATTTTAGGGTTAGACGAATTTTTTGTAATTTTTTTGGAGCCTTTTTTTAATTTTGACCAACTTTGACCTTTGACTTATTTTGACTTTCATTGACCGTCGTTGACCGCTAAGACTGCCAAGCCCGTCGTTGACCGAAATTGACCAATTAACGCCAAGGACCCCTAATCCTAACCGGTTGTAGAACGCCAAACGATTAATCTACGATTAATCCACGATTAATCCCGATTTCTACAACCTTGGTACTTAGTAATGGGGATTTTAAGTATTGGATAAACCCACGCTTAAAGAATTACTTCATGGATTTTATCACGAGTAATTTTGAGACGATAATATCTTATATTCTTGAAATGGAGATATATGAGTTGTTGTTTACGAGTCAGTTGTGCATTGATAATACGTAAACACATCACTAACTTAATGTTATAAAACGTATTGTTGTTAATGATTTGATGAGTAAATAGTGCAAGCATATAAGTCAAAGTTTATTCGTTCCTTTTTCCCTAATGGGAAAAGTGATATATTTGGGCCCCTCGGTGATTTGGTGTTGACTTATATGTGGTAGGCCTAGCCAAGACTAAACTGATGTGTTCGATTAGAAGTCTTAGGTCGTCATCACAAATCAGAAATCGGGAAACAAAACTTGGACAATGAGATTGATTATAATCCATGTCTCATGTCCGTACGCTATCTTGTAGAATGGAGGAATATTTGATCACTTATCATAGGATACGTAATTGACTGGGTCAGAGTTCGACAACAGCTTTTGGAAGCTACAATTTGCTTATCAGTTTGGAAGTTATACTGGCAATTATAGTTACAGACTTATCCAAGTGGGAGACTGTTGGATTAGGTGTCTAAGCACATAACTATAATTGGTATAAACTTGAATTGATAGTAGCACAGTCCTTTTGGGTTGCCCTCAAACCTAGGAATTAAATATGATAATTTTTAGAGAGAGAGAGAGACTGATTTATTAATTC